ATCGGCGAATCAGTCACTATAATATACAAGGTGCATTTTGCATCTTAAATTAATCAGTGTACATAGTTTTTTTTAATTCAGAGAGTAAACTAAAACAGATAAATCATGGTCGATTCAGTTTCTTGCACAGGAAAAAAATTGATGTGGCAGATGATTATCTCTATGGCAACTTCAGAAAGCTACACTAGTACAGACCTTAAGGGTGCCAGTGCCTAGTTTTTAGCTCCTTAGACACTGAAAGAGCTGTTAACTGTTCAAAATATGAGGAAACTGTAGGTAGAATGCGGCTTGCAAAAAGTTAGTCTAGGATGGATCGAAGTGTGGCTCCTAGACCAGCAATAAGGCAGTTTATTTTCTACTATAAGTTTGGCATGCCATCCTAAGGGGATGCAAGTGGCTAATATGCCGAGAATCACTGACAATGACCCAAAGTGATTCCAGTCAACCTACTACAGCCTGGACTTGACTAGTGACTACAACAAGTCAGCTAGCACCAAATGCACATTGCTTCAAGAAATGCAGCTGAATCTCCATACGATCATATCAGTAATTCCTGCTACTCATTTCTGCTATAAGTGCTTCTGAATCCGTTGACTCAAATGGTATTTTTAGCATGATCCTTCTTTCACTTCATTTCAGTTATTCAGTGCATGAAACATAATCTATTGAGGTTAGCTTGTGAGTTTAAGGCAAAACATTCTCTTTTAACACAGTGCCCTTCATGTCTAACCTGCCAAAAAAAAGGGCAACCTGGTGCATGTAGCTCCCGCTTGCGCAGGGTCCAGGGAAGGGTCCGACCACTTTGGGTCTATAGTACGCAGCCTTTCCCTACATTTCTGTAAGAGGCTGTTTCCAGGACTTGAACCCATGACCTCATGGTCACAAGGCAGTAGCTTTACCACTGCGCCAAGGCTCCCCTTCCATGTCTAACCTGCCAATTTGATCTATATACTACTACTAACACAAAATGCCAAAGTGGCTTCATTTTTCTTCTTCTTACATTTGGTAAGCAAGTCATCAACCTAGATGTAAATATTCATGCCATGCAATTTTTTCAACATAAAGGAAAGGGTGTGCAACTAAGTATAATCCACATAACCACAGGCACGTGTAACCATACACGCATGCAACCGCATGAGAGTAATGTGCCCAAGAAAGTGTATATACAACAAATGTTTTGAAAAAAGCCTGCATGGTGGGAGTTCACATAATTGGAGTACCTTTTTGTTTTTTGCATCAGCAATGGAATCCGCAAGTGACTCAATACTAACAGAGTGGCTTGAATGAGTTGAAGCCATGGAGGCAAAGTGATTCGAATTCAAATCAGGAAGCAACTCACTTGAAGAAGACAAGAATGTGTCACCATGCTCAACTCTATCCTCAGAGTTGTAATCAACATCAGCACAATTGTTATCCATTTGTACTAAGACTCCACCAGAACCAACAAAGGATTCTTGGGTGTCTGGAATAGGAAAATCCAGCGCAGGTGCAAGGGTGTCTTTTTCAGTACTGGGAAATTTAGGTGAGACTACACATTCAGGAACACCAGTAGAAGTCTTGGAACAAAAGGAGTTATCCACATCTGCATGATGACAAGGAAGCTTCAAAGGATTATCCTGGGAAATGCAATCGCCAACTGGGACTGTGATGTCAAAATCTTGCTCTTGGACTTGTGCAACATTAAGATTTATGCTGTTGCTCCCATTTTCCATCATGAGTGATTGAACAATATATTCACTTGATAAAGATCCACCATTTCCAACTTGATTAGCTGAATGATCTGAATAACACGATTTTAAGAAATCTTCAAGGGTCATAGTGCGCTGCTGATGTTCAGCGTCAGAGATGGATTCCCCAAATGGGCCTGTGATGTCCACATCATGCGCATGGACTTGAGCAACATTAAGATTTATGCTGTCATTGCCATTTTTCCCCAGGAGTGATTCATCAATGTATTCACTCCACAAAGACCGACCATTACATGCGTTTAAGAAATCTTGAACGGCCAAATCACAGTGCTTATCATTAAGTGCAGGCACAGAACAGGAAGGGAAATCTAGTTGTCCATTCATCAGTTGTAATGATGAAGTCACATCTAGTTCACCCACAACATTTTCTTGCACGTCAGTTGTGATTGCAAAATCAACATTTCCCTTAGCTTCATCAACATGAATATCAGAACCTGATTTGACTCCATTCATTAGCATAACTTCAGAAAACGGGAAAGGTTCTAATGAGACGGAGGGAGTATATATCAGAGAAAATGTTCTTGCAATTTATTGAAGATAAAGGGCTTTGTACAGATTAGCGCTAAAGTTAAACCCACATGAGCTCAATGAGCAAGATAGAAATTTAAGTCAAGAATAAGAAAGCCCATACCACACAGCCTTTGGGTCGTTACTTAACACTTGTATAACTGTAATAAGTTAAATTGCAAAACTGGCAGTACTATGTTTCTACCCAAACCACCAAGTGCTTACTGCTACATGAGTTAACTTTGGGCCCACAGCTTATCCTAAACCCAGAAGATCCCAAACACTATCCCTACACAACGATAAAACCTATGCATGCAAACATTTCGATTAGATCTAAGATCAATAGAAGCACCCTGATGGAGCGTCTTTTACACTAAGCATAGATTGGCCCATAAATCTCAATCTTTTTACTTACCAGCAGATGATGAAGTTCCCGTCTCACCCACAGTATGATTAGCAGATAAATTTCTGAATAAATCTTTCGTAAATTCTGCAGGTTCATGATGGGCACTAGAAATTCCGACTGGACCTGCCATAGATAGCATGACTTCGTCAAGGACGGCTACCAACCGTGAAATCAACATCTTTATGGTGCTCTATGGCGACAGCCTTCAGCATACAGAGATCAAGTGGTATCAGTCTTTATACTTACCAGCAGATGATGAACTTCCTGTTTCACGCGCATTGTGATTCACAGTTAATCTTCTGAAAAATTCGTCCTTAGATACCGCAGCCTCCTGATGGACGCTAGAGACTTCGACCGAACCTATCATAGATGGCATGACTTCGTCAAGGACGGCGACCACAGCGGAATCGGCATCTTTATGGTGCTCTATCGCGACAGCCTTCAGCATGCGGGGATCAACCTGCAGAAAGGGCACACAAAAGGTGTCACTGCTTCGACCGCAGCCATGAACAAATCAAACACTGAATGGCGGATTACCCATGCAGAAGACACAACAATTCCCCTAAAAGGAATAATCGAACTCTTTCAGAGTAAGTATGAATCGATCTAGCGATAATCCTAGTAGCTCCGCAGGAGACTAAAATCACACCCGGCCCGCCCCAATTCACGGTAACATCCTAGTGCGTCCGAATGGAAATCCACTATTCCCAATCTGTAACGAGTTTCCTCCCGCAGGTGTAATTAATTACCAATAACCCAAACCCTCGCCTCGCCGCCGAACAAAAAAATTCCAATCGTCCCCCGTTCCTCATCCGAGCAACACCGATATCCCCATGCGAGATGGAAAGGCGGATCGGGCATACCTGAGGGAAGAGCTCGCGGAGTGAGCGGAAGACGGTCATGTGGTCGCCCATCTCCGAACCCTAGAAGCCAAGGAATCAGGATCGGCTATGAAGTAGAGGAACCCGGTCACGGGCGGATGGCTCCGGCTTCGCGGAGGGGAGAGGGATTAGGGTTTGGGGGATTCCTCTGATCGCGGGATTGGAGGGGAGGGAGGGGAGGAGGCGAGTTGGAGTGAAGAAGGCGAGCGAGAGAGGAGGCTGCACCCGGGATAGAGGCCGAGAGAGACCCGCTCAGGCTCGAGCGGTGTGGTTTTACCGGATGGGCAGCGCGTAGGTTTTACGTTTAGGCCCTCCTTGTATCCTCTTTTCGTAATATATACTCCCCCCGTTTTTAATAGCGTGAGATGATCTATTTTTTTTCCTGAATCAGATGTATATAGAACGTTTTAATTAGTGTGTTTGTTCACTCGTTTCAGTCTGCATATAGATCATGTTGAAATATCCAAAATGTCTTAGAATTGGGAACAAAGGTAACAGTAACAATTAGTGATTTCCAAAATATACAACTATTCGATCTTCGTTGGAATCACACAACTTATAGATATAAGATTATCCCAATTGACTTGGAAAAAGGATTGTCTTTCTCAAGAAGAAAACTGCGTAAAGTATACTGTACATGGCAAGTAAAGGTGGAGGATGTTCTCGAAAAAGAAAAAAAGGTGATTGAATTGGACCGCCACTGTGTAGTCTGTGTTAGTATCAAAGGACGATTTCAGAACAAATCAAAGCACCACATACTGAAAACGGAGCTCGGAGGAAGATCCCAGTTGCAAAATTTGATTACCCCAAAGAAAGAGCATGCAGCTGCATGATTCAAGGAAACGGAAGAGGGCGACGGGACGTGTGAACACCAGAGCCGCGGCGGCATTAATCATGTCTTAGCCACGAAGGAAGTACTAGTAGTACGTAGCAGTACCAACATATAGAACAATCTACGACATGCATACAACCTTTACGGCGGAGAATACAAAAGGCCGTTGGCGCGTCCAACTCAGCGGCAGTGCCCATGCAGGTTGTATCATATCAATATTCTGTGTCTGTAGATAGATAGAAACCACACGCACCCGGTGCTTGGATCAATCTGCCACTGCCGACATAGGCACCATCTAGTCAACCCCATGGATCCAACGGATACCACATCACCGCATAGCGTAGGTTCCCAAAATATCTCAGCAAACACATGCCATGCCAAATTGCTAATGTCTCAGCAAACATTCACCAGAGAACCAAGATGGTCTAAAACATGGAAGAAAGAAAAGTAACAACGGAACGGAAGTTACAAAGTACAGATAAACCTCCCGTCTGTCTGCTTGACTCGGTTCAAAACAATTGAGCCACAGATTTTTGTGAAATTTTAACCCCTCCAGTGATCATTTAAGAAGGTAACCGGAGCAAAAGATATAGGGGCTAGTCCACCACCATAGTCCATAGACATGGCTAGTCCTCCTCCACCTTCAGGCCCTGCAGCTTCGAGCCCAGGCCACCGTCGTCGCCGTCCTTCTCCTCGTCATCGTCGTCCTCCCCATCCTCCTCTTCCTCGCCATCTTCAGGGTCGCCCTCGGGGTCGTTCTCATCCAGCGGGCCAAGCACCTCCAGCGAGTTCTTGCCTCCCTTCAGGATCTCCTTCACCTCGTCAACCCCTTCGTCGGAGATGAAATTCGAATTGATGTTCAGCAGCGCGAAACCTGGCTTGTTTGCGACAGCTTGAGCAAAGCACCGGGCTCCAGACCTCTGAAACAGATTCGTGCTCACGTCAAGCTCCTTCAGACTTGGGTGGCCTTCCTCCAGAGATTTTGCGATTGTCACTGCCCCATCATCCTTCAGCTCATTCTCAGCTAAGGTCAGCTTGTTGAGCGACTGCATTGCTGTCAAGCATTCTGCTACAGCTTTGGCTGCTTTGGCGGTTATTTCATTTCCTGCCATTTCAAGGACCTCCAACTGAGGTGCTGACTGTTTGAGGACATTCACTATTGCTATTGTACCCTCGTTCTCAAGATTGAGGTCACTGAGATAGAGCTCAACGAGGCCACTGAGCTTTGGAAGGGTTTTGCTGAGAGCTACCCCTGCCTCCACACCAAATAAGTTGTCCCTGATATCAAGTTTCTTCAGACGAGTACATGTCCCTAATGCCTCAGCCAGTGCCACTCCACCATCAGATCCTATCCTTGTCGCGGAGCACCTGAAGCTCTCTAGGTTTGGAGAACGCTTCACCATCTCAGCAATTGGCATAGCACCTTCATCACCAGTCATATTGTTGTGGAAGTGGAGAACCTTAAGCTTCTCAGTTGAAGGAATAAGCTCAGATAGAGCTTTTGCAGCTTCCCCTGATATGCCATCGTTCATCACATATAGCTCTTCCAAGTTGCCCTGTGATTTCAGCAGCTCTGTGAATGCCCTGACACCCTTCTCACCTAAAGCATTGTCAGAGATGTTCAGGTAACTCAGTACAGACCCTGCTAAAGCTTTGGAGAATATGCGCATCACATCAAGGGCTTCGTCCTCGGGTCTTCCAGCGACAAAATCTGAGATATCTACCTCTGTGAGCTGCGATTTTATTGATTCAAGAATTGGGCCAGCAACATTGGCAGCACCAATACCAAAGCTCCTGTTGCTGAAACAAATCCTTTTATAAGAGTTTCCTGGTTTTGTCAGTGGACTGAGAAGTTCCTTTGCTTCTTCTGCCTCAATGAAAGCGCGCTTACCACCAGATATGTCAAACACAGTATCAGCAGGCTCAAGAGGTGTATCAACAACAGGTGCTTCTGGTTCCTCGGTTGTCCTTGGGCCTTTTTTCAGGACTTCAAGCATCAGCTTGCTAGTTTCTTTTGCATATAGCTGGACAGCAGAACTACCATCACCATCAGGCTCCTTCTTGAAATGCTCCTCTGCAGAAGCAAAGCACACCTCTTCGATCCTCTTAGCATTCTCATGAGCCTCTTCTTTGCTCAAAATGCCATACTTGCGAGAGAAGATGCACTCGGCGGACAGGTTCTTGGTCATCCTCTCTACAAGCATCAGACGAGTGCTTTCACTCGGTGGCCACAGTTTGACGGAGAATGTTCGGGGCTGGAAATCTTCCGCTGTTGATTCCATGTGGAAAGGTGCCACTTCACACAGCAACCTACTGGTAAATCAACCAGAATAGGCATTAGCATGATCCCAAATTGCAGAAAGCAATACAATATTGAGTAAACAACGAAATTAGTGGAGCAATTGGAGGGCCTGTCCCTTAAGTAGCAAACACTAGTACCAACAAGGATACAACTAAACACCACTTAGCAAAACATAGTTAAGTCTAGAGTGTAACAACATCATCATTTTTCTTCTTCTTAAAGGGGGCACATGGCCCCCAGTTTCATTCAAGAAAACGGAGAACAACAACTTCATCGATTCGTATTTTGCTCAAACTGGTCGGTTTACAGAGGAAACCAAGGGTACAATTAGCAATTACAGAATAACAGGAGTTCAGCCTAGCACCAGAATAATAATGTGTGATGTTACTACGGTTGCTATCATTGTCCTAGATAGCACTAGTATAGAACCAGCAGTCCTAATGGGCAGATATTGCTTTCAAAACACGATAACCAACTATTGGACAGAACCTTGAGATCTATTTGATCAAGCAAAGCTTAAGTAACTGCAAATTGTAGTCTCCCAAAGGCCAAAGCCATGCATTCACTCCAGCTTCTTGTTTGTACTCTATATAAGTATGGATTGTGATTTAAGAGTGCCAGTTCAATCGGCTAAAACATAAATAACTCAGA